AGAGTTTGCAAGTGTTCGTTTTCTTTTTTGCGCTGTTTGGTATAGCTGGGGCACGGTTTGTAGAGGCTTTCAGGGCCGTTCTGTGGGCCGCCTATAGTTGTCATCAGCTCATCTTCTTTTTCTTTAGGAATCGTTGGGCTCAACTTCCAGTGTGTGTTACCAGTTCTGGTCTTTTCCAGAACTGGGTGTGTGTTGTGCGTATTACTTCCAGCGTCGGCTATTAAAATCCGACACTGGCTAAATAGGATTTTTTGTGCGTTGCCAGTTCTGGTCTTTTCCAGAACTGGGTGTGCGTTGTCTGCGTTCTATATATATATGTCATCAGCGAAACATTTTATACAAATGAATATTTCTTTGCTGAACTTTGGAACTTTAGATGCAGCACTCTGAGCTTTTGTAATGTCTTGCCAGGCTTGGCTTTTCTTTGCGATAGGCTGCGGGCGGTTTTGTGGACCGCCTTATAGTGTCCGCGCAGCGCCATGGCTGATGGTGTGGAGACTCAGATGAAGGCATTGATCGAGTTTCTGCGCGCCTCATCGGCAGAACCAGTGCTCATCGAAGCCCATGTGCGATCCCTTCGTGAGAAAATCTCAGCACTTCCCAAAATGTCCTTGGAGCAAGCAACGGCTTTGGCATCTACAGTGAAGTCAGCCGAGGGTGTGATTGAGGGGAAGGATGTGAAAGCAATCTTAGATGCCCTGCATGAAAAAATGAAAGGTGCTCCTTTGGATCCGAAGGGGAAACGCCCCATGCAAGAGTGGTTGACTTGGGCGTGCTTCTTGACGGCAGACCTTTGGGAAGTGATTTTGAAAGGAACCAACACATCTCTGGTTCTGAAGCAAGTCGTGCAGTTCTTATTCAATCTTGGCCTGCGACGTCCCTCAGAAACGGTCTATGGGACACTCACGGCCATGTTGGTTTTGAGAATGCCTGAGAATGAGCGCAACTTTTTAGACCGTGGATTAGCAAGTTTTCCACCATTTTTCCTCATCGACCTCCATATATACCATGAAAATTTTCCCCTGTTCTATTAGCGGCCCCCAAAGCCGCAGCGGCCCTCAAAGCCGCCGTATGATTGTTGTTGTGAACAACATTCGTTGATCATCTTCGCACGCGTCTAAACAACACCATGTATATAGACCATCATTTTTCGTCTTAAATAACTTAAGTAGCTTTGACGGTCGCTGCGGCTCTGGGGGCCGCAGCAACAAAACCTGTGTTTGAAGTGATTTCGGTTGAATGGTTTCTCTGTCCCACCGCCAAGGTTGAGAGTTGGGCTTGCAACAACGTGACCTTGTGGCGCCCAAAGGGCGACGCGAAACTGGTTGCTGATGCGGATTTTTCCAGCGCTTGGCAAAAGCCTAGCCACTGGCACAAACGGCAGGACAACAGCATTCTCCTTCTCTGCTGACGACTCAATTAAAGAGAAAACTTGCCTGAAGTTATTTGAAGTTACAAACACTTACAAAAACTTACGGTTGCTCAGATTTTACTAAGTAAGATATGTTTTCATAACTTCCATCTAACTTCTTGTAAGTCTGATATCTACTTATAAGTTCGCTAAGTATAAACGGCCCTCGTTGCAAAAATCGTGCGTATACGGAAGTCCTGCATGTGTCAGGATCTTCATGCTCGCAGAAGTCAAGAACACACTGGCGGAAGTCGGCAACACTGTCCTCCGGAATCCTTGCAAGGCGTCTGAGAAGTGCACTGCCGGGACCTGGAGTCCTGGCAAGCGAAGTAGGCGGTAGGCGGCTATTCCGAAGTGACAGTCTTTCCTGACATGAGCGGCTTGGCGTCTGAAGTTGACTCAAAAGTGACTACGCGCCTTGGCAACGTACTGGTCTTCTGTGGAAGTCGTCTGCCAGTAGTTTTGGACGCCAATTAAAATTCCGTTCGACCTTTCCAGCGCTTGTCAAACAATTTTCCGGGAGCATCCGAAGTGCGCCAGTTGTCAACAAGTTCCTGCTCAGTTCCATCGTCGAAGTGAAGGAAAGTCTTTCTCTGCTCTGCCGGCTCTTCCAAACCAATGGGTCGATCTGAAGTTCCGTCCCAAAAAGTGACCGTCGCGGTCTCTTATGATACTGAATTCAAACCAACATATTTCGTGAAGTGTCGAGTTGCCATCTATCAGTATGATAATACACTGGTTTGACAGAAGCAGAAGTTAGGGCAACGATTTGTTGGTCGTTCTCTTTCGGTCGGAATTGCTCGTGGAAGTGAATGCAAGCATATTCAAAGTGGTCTCTGTCAAAAGGAAGTACCTCAGGTTTCGTGAACAATAAGAACCGTTCCGATGAAGTTCAATTGTTCGACCATGAGGAGACTGAAAGCGCCATATCATGTTCTTCCAGAGTGACTTTGAAACCTTGTGAAAGAAGTCGTCCAACAGAAACAATTGGGTACTCAATGTTCGTGTGCAAGTCACACTGTTGATCCTACATCCCACAGGTCGTCTACCGTAAAGTTCAATGGCTTGACCTGTTACACTCCGAAGTGGAGGTCTACCTCCTTCCAGAGGAAGCAGGGGCCAGTCAGCTGCGAAGTCTCGTGGGCAGCAGTGAGATGCTGCACCGCTGTCAAAAAGGAACCAAGAAGTGTTCACAGCTGAAGCAATTGACATGTGGAAGTCAAGCAAACGGTCCGGAAAGCTTTCCACCTGAGGTCAAAGATGCCCTAGACCAACCTGCTCAAGCGTTGTGAAGTGCACATCTTGATGAACTGGGTCGCACAAATACAGTGAAGTCAAAGGAGCCACGGTCATGGAAGTACCAAGTCCAAACACTCCCAAGGTAACCGCTGACAGAAGTACAGAGCTGGAACCTGAAACCGAAGTCCTGCCGACGACTCTGGAAGTGTGCTCGCGCCAACTGCTCCCACGGTTCCACCTGAAGTGTTCTGACCCGAAGTTCCTGGCTGTTCTTTCGTTCCTTGGACCTGAACTGGCTGCTGCAGTCCAGTCACTACCAGTCCCAGGGTTCCTGAAACCACTCACCATCATACCAAAAAGACTCATCCCAGTCCTCTTCGCTACAGCTGAAATCATCTACTGCTCCTACATACCATGAGAAGTCGTCATGAATCCAAGGACCATCTTCACTACCCACGTATGAAGTGTCACCATCAACCTGTTCACTGGGCACCGAAGTAGCCTCTCCGACGACTCCAACACGATTCCTCAAACGCTCACGCGAAGTGTGGCCTGGCTTTCCACAAGTCCAGCAAGCCGGACCCTTACCACCTTCAACACTACTTGACAAAGTCTTGCCTTTTGCCATTCCTTTTACACCTTTGGAACCGAAGTTCTTGCCTTTTCCTTTTCCTTTGCTGCTGCCACCGAAGTGCCTCTTTCCGTTACTTTTGCCTTCACCTTTCATGAAGTTCCAATGTCCTTTTCCTCTTCCTTTACCTTTACCTCCTTTGAAGTTCATTCCGCCTACATCCATTGGCGCCGGACCCGAAGTCGACGACGAACTGCTGCCACCTTGTCCCAGGATAAGCCTACTCCTGAAGTACTGCGCGATCACGTCTCGAGCGAGGTCGTAAGAAGTCAAGCTAGCGGCATTCAACCTGAGATGTTGCTGAAGTGCTCCTGAAGTCTTGTTCATGAGAGTTGCCACAAGGACTGAGTCGGGAAGCGCTTGCCCGGTCTGTTGCTCGTACTTGGCTTTGACTGTTTCCAGGCATTGAAATCCTGTTCAAACGGTTCAGTTTTGAAGTTCCAACCCAAAAGTCTCGTAAGAAGTGACACATGTCTTGTGGCATCGGGAAGTGAGAACTTTTCGTGAAGTCTACGCCATGTCTCAAAGCCATTGTTGCCCACATTCTGGCGGACCAAAAGTCTGGCACTACCTGCACAAAGCTGCGCTAGCATGTAGTGAAGTTTCCTAGAAAACTTTACAATGGACTCTGCATGTTCTTGATCTCTAGCCAAAGGAGTGAAGTGATCGTCTACAATAGGGACCGTTGAAGTCGAAGATCTCTCAAGCAGGTCCACTACCTCTGAAACATCGCCATGTACCTCTTGAAGTTCCACCCCCACTCTTCCCAATCAGAAGGATCGCCATTGAACTCTTTCGGAAGTGGGAGTCGGATCTTTCCTCCTAGCTCACTTTCTAGAGAAGCCATTACGAGGTTCAGAAGTTCCTACCGGAGCAAGGAGCCAGAGCTCCGCTACCATGTAAACTTTGAAGTCCCTACTCTCCTTACCTAACAGCAAACTGATGTCAAAGGTTCACTATTCCCGAGACACGAAGTGGCAGCTTTTGCTCTTGAGCCAAAGTGAAGTCAAAGCTCTTCACCATGGCATCTAGGACTAGTGAAGTGGGCATACGCTTGACACAAACAAACAAACAAACAAACAAGCTTCACTCGAGTCGAAGGTAACAGCAAAGCCCAGCTAATACTAGAAGAGCTTCGCCAGCAGCTAAGAGCATTCACCAAGCTGGTACCGCAACATCTTTGTTGGTTGCAAACCAACCTAGTCGTATACTCTCCCGGTCACCAACTTGGAAGCTGCATCTCCCGGTCACTACCCGCTGACATTGGGAAATCAATACTAACATGATCTAACATGGAAGTCTATAGAAAAACGGTCGCTCAGTTGCCTGTGGAGTGGTGATGTTTAAGCGGGCAAGCTTGGGGTATCGCATGCGCATTGCTAAGGGTGTCGATTCAATCCCCGAGTTTGGGCCCCAAGGCAAATGACTGTGGAATTACCTTTCAAATCAAGAACCACGTTAATTTAATTTAAAAAATAAAAATAAAAACACATGTCAAACATACGCTTGGACAACGTTCAACCTTCATGTTCTGATAGGGCATCGCTCTTGGGTGGGGGGCCATCGCTTCCCTGCGAAGGCGGCTCACATCTTCTGTATGTGGTTCTTTCAACTGTGTTGCATGTCATTGGCATTTCTTGCAAAAGTGCAAAGCACGATGATTTCAGGCCAAAGCCAAATATTCCTTCAATTCCAGCAAAGCTCGACTGAGTGACATACAATGTTCTCAGAGCGACATCATGGGGAGTACCTATTTTGTACAAGGGATTGCCGACTCCAGGTGGTGCGTGGAAGTACAAAAAACTTGCAAAGCTTATAAAGTTAGTGCACAAGCAACCGGAATTGCACACCATCAGGTGATCGTTGATCAGGGACTGCCTGGCATAGTGTACAAAGTAGTATACACAGGACAGCTGATTGATTTGATTGCATGATGTTATGAGACATTATGAGACTTTGGCAAAGCATCCTGGATCCCTACAAGTCACACAGGGCAAATGCAGCTTGCAGAATGACGAGAGGCAATGTACACAATCTATGTAATATACTGAAATTAGGTTGGAGGCCATCGCTATCAGGTTGGAGGCTTCAGTATATTGTATATTTCACAAGAAGTCATATACTGAAATGCGTCAGAGTTGCGCCGGCTTCGATTAGCAGGTTCATCACTCCAACGCGGCCTTGTTCCAACTACTATAGAGGATAGTGTCACGCTCAACCAGGCCTAGCACTTGCAAAAAAGGCAAGTGACCCATGCCTGCTGCGGCTGCTAAATGAAGAGGAGCCCAGCCATGGTCATCCAGGGCATTCACGTTGGCCCGGCGATCTATCAAATTCCTGTGGAATTTTGTTGGATTGGGGCGAACATTGAGCAGGCCGAGGCTAGACTTCCAGAAACAAGCTTGCCTCACGACCTCAACATGGCCATGAAGAGATGCGAAGTGCAGCGCCTCACTCGAAAAGTGAGGCGTTTCCTCTTGCATGATGCATCTAAACTTGTCTGAACACTCAAGGTGCTGCAGAAAAAAACAAACATCAGTCCCATCAACACCCTGAGCATGATGCTGTAGTTGCTGCAGGCGCAGCGCCAGATGTGTTGGCATTCATAACGGTCAAACGCTTCACTCCCAGCACCTTCGCGCTCAAGATGTCGGTACGACGGCATTTACAGCTACCTTTAAAACGACGCCACGCCAGGAATAAGAACAGAAAACCCCATGCCTCTCCCGCAGCAGATGCCCGCAACAACTGCACGCCTTGAATCTCCACCAATACATTCTGAATCCCTTTTGGCAGAATACGTCTGGGCATTGACACGATAAACCACCGCACCCCTTTCAACCCTGTCAGCCAAAAATCTTTCTGGCTGCACGGCAGGTACTTCGCAACACCTTGCAAGGTCCCTTGTAGGATGGCAAGGTCCGCGGCAAGCCTGAGAATGGGACGCAACCAATGGATCGGTGACGTCAGCTAAAATTTTTGTCCACAAACATGACTGATGATTTTTGCTATGTATCTTGTAGTTTGCAATGATGTGGTGGTTAGAGATTGCTTTGCCCGAATCAGTGGTGATTGCTGGGATGCTTGTAACTTGTAGCCAGGCACATCTCCAAAAAATCCAATGTATAGACTACACTGAATGGCGTCAAGCGACAACTTCAGGCAAGTTTTTGGATGCAGGGGCACATGCAAAGCTGCTGCATAGCTGGTCACAGCATCTGTATAGATCGACTGCGACGTCACACACTGCTCTGCCTGGGCAAATGGAGCAAAGGGGTCCAGTTAGGCTGCGAGCGCATTGATGCCACCACAGTACGGTCATCGCACATCATCATCTCGGAAACATCCCGAAAAAGAACGCTTAATTCTGTAGAGATATGTAGAGCAACGCGCTTCACTCAAGAACTTCCAACAAACCATGTGAGACTCGACAACACTCCCGCACAGACCCCCTGATAATACCCACTTCGTTCGCAAAAATCATCTTAATTGCATCAAGATGCATCTGTCGTGGCCTCTTTGTCCGCCCTATCAGTGGGACCTGCCTTTTGGAGGTGCCCATTTTGGGGGGGAACTTGCTGCTGGAACCCACTTTTCCAGGGGCGTTTTTTGCTGCGAGATGGCTGTCAAACAAAGCGCAGAAGGGCACCAACCCAGAAATGCGGTTCAATGGTTTTTCTCCGGCTCTCTGCATCTAGATCTGTCAAACAGCACCCTATTTTCCAATTCATGTCAAACAGAGGCTTGCAAGACTCAAATCGAATGCTCCAAATGACCCCGCGCATCTCCAAAAAGGGGGAATGTTTCATACGAAAAACAACGTTCGAAAGTCGTGTGGTTGAACATAGAAAAAATACGTTTTTTGTTCCCCCGCTGTTTCTGGAAACGCCGCCTTAGGAGTGGCTCAGCACCTGAATGTATGCGCAGGGGGGTGCTTTCGAGGCGACTGTATGAAGATATGGGGTCAAAAAGTTTCAGGACATCATGATGTCATTTGAAAATGTGGAAGCTGATTTTCCGGATAATGTATGAAAGCAAGGGCAGCAAGGGGGGCAAGCCGCCTGCGGGAACACATTTTTGCCAGGGAAATGTATGAGCGGGGGCGAGGGACATCCATAATCACCATATCATGTCATGAAGCTTGCAACTTCCAAGAAAAATGTTTTAAATCACTTCGCCAGGAATGAAATCTGGAGACCGTGAAATGGGTGTGGCCAGAAACCCTGGTATGGGTCGTTCCGCGCTGCAGTGAGAGTGATCCAAACCCTATGGATCAGAGCGCTGATCCAAGCCCTATGGATCAAACCGACAAGTCACTTGATCCAAGCCCCCGACATGAACACATCTGCATGGTGGCACTTCACCCCACCACTTTCTCACCAATTCACTGTGAAGGTGGTGGCTTCCCAGATCAAAGCCATCCTGTTTGCGGCAAGCCTGTTTTGAAGTTCTGGCCGCTGTGAATTTGGGCTCCACTGTCCATATTGGGCAATCAGCTGGCCGCGCATATTGGTGACTCAGTGGGCTTTCAAGACATTTAACAGGTGGTGGCTTCAGCTCTAGATTGGAGGCTCACTCCGAAAACTGGTTTAGTGGCTGCCGCTAATTCTGTTTGGCCTTAATATTGTGTTCTAGCACCTTATTTAATATGGCTTAGTTGGGTTGGCTCCTCCACTCAAAGGGTTCCATAGCCTAATGGTAAAGGCCTCGGTTTCCAATTCTTCACTTCCACAGTGTGAGGGTTCGAGTCCCGGCTGTGAACACGCTTAGTGGCTTCCGCTAATTAATTTTTGGCTGGAATGGGAAGTCAATTCGAAGTTGAGTCTGGTGGCAATACTGGTGATAGTGGTGAGTAGCAGTAGCAGCAGCAGTAAAGCTGTTGCAGGCAAAGTAGCAGAAGGAGTGGTGGCAGCAGAGGTGGTTGTAGTAGTGGTTTGTAGTAGTGATGGTTCGAGTCCCGGCTGTGACCACACTTAGTGGCTTCCGGTAATTAATTTTGGCTGGAATGGGAAGTCAATTTGAAGTTGAGTCTAGTGGCTTCCGCTAAATCTGTGGTGGTGGTAATACTGCTGATAGTAGTGAGTAGCAGTAGCAGCAGCAGAGGTGGTTGTAGTAGTGGTGGTGGTGGTTGTGTGATCCAAGGGCTTGGATCACACACCCACCTTTTGATCCATACCCCATGGATCGAGGTATGGATCGTGTGTGGGTTTGGGTGTGTGATCCAAGCCTTATGTTTTTGGCCGTAGCCAAATGTACATTGAGCGGGGGGGACGCACAGCGCACACCCCTTGAATATCCTTGAATATACATTTACAGTATGTGCCCCAGTGATTGCTTGAAGATGCATCTGCCTTGTCAACTTGTCAAGGGTCTTATCGCCAGAGCCCGCTTTTCGGAGGTGCCCTTTTTGCCCCAAGACGGCCGTCAAACAAGGCGCGCAACAAACTCTTCCTTAAGGCCTTTTCTGGGGGAACTTGGTGCTAGCCGCTAGAACCCATTTCAAACAAAGCGCCAAAAGGCAGCCTGAAAAGCTGCTTCCTGCATCGACAAGTCATTGTTACCATGCCCGGCTTTTGCCGGTGCCTTTTTGCCAGAGCCCGCTCTTCGTAAGTACCCCCTTCTTGGCCCGACGCGGAACCTTGGTGCTACTCAGAGGGCACCCGAGACGGCCCTCGAACACAACGCAAAAGGACACTATATATGCATCTAGACTATTTGCATCTAAATCTCTGCAAGTCGTGCTATCTTTCCTTTCACGCATGGCTCGACTTCACGCCTGGCTTGACGACAAACTAAAGGAAAATACTGTAAATCATAGTGTGTTATCATACTGGAGCCGATAAATTTGCCAAGCACCCTAAAAGAGCAATCACGCGCAGTTGATTATGCAAAAATGCCGTCATGCCCACTGCCCACTTGATGATGCCAAAAACGTTACTACAACAGTTGCCGCATCACTCACATCACAAGAGCATTTTTAAACGACATTTTGTCCACCCACTTTTCGCTTTCCCCACCCCCAAAACTCACTTCGTTTGCCTAGACAGAACGTATCGCGTTGGGATGGCAGTCAGCGGGATCACTAACTAGACTAAAGGCTCTTTCTGGGGCAACGTAATGCTCCTCCTTCTTGGGTTGCTTGTGCAGTTTGCAGGATTCGCTTTATTTCAATTCGCTCCTGACAAAAAGTAGTAGCAAACAGCAAGACTCCAGCCGCCTGTGTTTTCTTGGTTTGCATCAGAAAGGGATTGTCAGAGCCAAAGCTCAGGACCCTGCAGGTTGTAGCGCCGCTCACCTTGCGTACATGATTTTCTGGACACACCAGGTTGGAGCAGTCCTGCTGGGCTGCCTAGGCCCAACACTGAACCAAGACATGGATCGGATACATGAATCACCCTAGGCAGGACGATGATTCACTTGTTCACAGTCACTTCACACCATCAGAAAGCTCGCTATCAAGCTCAGCTTGCGACGACCAACATGAAAAACATACCAAACTCCAACATGGCTGGAAACACAATAGGAGCAAGGACACTACTAGGGGCTCCTGGCCTTACCTTTACTGCACTACATGGCGTCAAAAGGCCATTGGTGTAGCTTTGAGCGTGGTTGCTATGGTGAACATGTATTATTGAGCTCGTGTGACCTTGAATTAAATGATGCTATGTGACTATCTATATAATAGTTTGTATACGTATACTGTATATAAATATACTTAAAAATTAAAATATAGTTGTTTGTAATATGTGTCTCTATATGTACATCTTGGTTGAGAGGGTGCTAGAGGGTGCTGGCAGCGAACAGTTCTAGCAGCGCTAGGCCAGCGTTGACACATCTTAAGCTGATTCCATGCTTTGGTTCATGCAAGCGTCAGACAAATGCAAATATGTTGCTTCGACTTCGACATGGAAATCCCAGCCAAGCCTTGGCTCGTGCCTTTCACACCAAGCACATTTCAGGCTGTGGCGGGACGTCAAATGACGCTGTACTGTCGCCTTCTAGGGCACAAGTGCAAGTTCGCTCCTCGTCGATTTCCTTCCCTCAACCCCGCGCAAACAGCCACCAAATTCTCAGCGGAGGCTTCAGGCACACAACACCAAGATAAGCCTGTGCCTATTCTGCTCCATCAACTTGTAGTTGCAAAGTTCTCTAGTTCCAGCTCGCCATAAGTTTGCGCCTGAGTCGTTCTTCTTCTTTCCGCTCCTCCTCTTCCCTCTCCTGCCAAGCACAAACAAGAGCTCCATTCCATTCTGCACATTCAATTACAAAAATAAGTATGTCACCACCAAAAAAATTGTCACGCCACTGAATGCATGCCAATTGAGATAGAAAGTGCACAAGTGACAGTTTTAAAGGCTTTCACCAATAGACAAAGCAAGGCCACCAAAAGTTAGTGTGAAGACTGCAGTAGGATACAAGCTTGAGGAAAGGGAAAGGTGATGATGGACGCGCAAGCTCGGATGGAAAGCTTCAGGGATCCGACATGATCCTTGAATCACTCCACGTGAAACGACAATCGTGATTGATTCGTGAAATAGGACTGTGAGTCCAGAGTGCTGATTCCTCCATCTCTGACCATTAAGACTATGACCCCCTTGGCATCACAATAGCAGCAGGACATGCTCTTGTGCTACTTTTATGCTAATATGATATGGCAATACAATGAATTTATGCATATGCGGAAACAATTGAGTTCCTTCGCTTCTTTGAATTGTTTGGGAACGGCGTAGATCACATTCCAAGAGAACAAAGTTACAGTAGCGCGTGTCCTGATTCTTCCACCATGTGCGCACTAGTCATGCCTGAGTCCGAAACTACCGCTGGATCTTGGCAGTCAGTGTTGAGTATGCTTTGGGCGCCTTGTGCAAACAACTATATACACCGCTCAAATTCCGTGGAAGAACTGTTCATCAACAGTCGAAGTGCCTTGCATCCTGTACACAGGTCTTCATTTCAGGTGAACTGCAACAGTGTGGCACACAATTATACAGTGCTCGGGCAGAAGAGCGTTTGTGAAAGACTCTATGAAGCAAAGCGTACTCAAGTCTATTCAACCCAACTTCCAAACACTACTGAACGCCACCCCAAATAATTCAAGAAGCACATATTCCAACCACGCTGTAAATATGTTCTATGTGCCCAAGTCGAGTCCTCCTTTTCTTCATTGTTTTCTTCCTCTTCCGAAGCTTCCTCCTCACTCCCATTTGAGCTTCCGAAAGCGTCCACTTCATCAGAGTCTGACCCTGAGTCTGAGTCTGAGTTGTCTGAATCACTATTTTCAGTTACAAACTTTGTTGCCTGTAGAACTTCTGGTGAAAAAATGCGTTCTTCCAAGTACATGGATCCCATCATGCCTTTGATACAACCGGCATCACGTAGTGTCAAAAAAGCCTGCTCTCCAACTTTGGGTTCAGGATCTTTGATTGCACGAGAAAGTAGAAGTTCTTGCTCGTAAACAATTTCTGGGCCCATTGCTTCCAATGCGAGAACTGCAAGCCAGCGCAGCTCCGGGTCACTTCCAGGCAGAGGTTTCAAATGCTCAGCCACTGACTTGCTGCAGGCAGCAACGCCTTTTCCAATCACAGCAATGGTCTCCATCGCAAAGCGTCGCATTTCTTGTGAGCCAGATGCTAAGACCTTCGTCAAAGCTGGACCTGCAATCGCACCATCCATATCAGGTCCCATGGCCTTCATGCACTTCATTGCAGAAACCTGGACATCCGTGTCTTCATCATGGCACGCCTTTGCAATAGCCAATCCAGAAGCAGCAGCAGCATCAGGGCCAAATACCGCAAGGGTGAGGAGTGCCTGCCGTCGTAGACGGGCATCTTCGTCGTTCGTAACTCGATTGGCCACTGCAGTAGCTGCTTCTGGAGCTGCTTCCGGACCCAAATATCCCAAGGCAACCAGGGCTTCATAACGCAAGTCACTACCTGAATTCTGAAGAACCTTAGTCAAGGCGGCCGATGCATAAGGCGCAGCCTTCCTTCCCATAATTGCCAAACATCTGGCTGCGCTGATGCAAGCCATTCTGTCAGGAACACCTTTAAAGAACAAAGTTGCCAAAACCTGTGCTGGATGAACTTCCATTTTCTCAGGCAGAAAGGCATCTTCAGCTATGTACGCTGACATCGCTTCGGCTGCTTTAATTCGTTTTTTAGGATCGTCATCGGTCAAATGCTCTACCAGCATCTCCACATGATCAATCATCTCTTGGTCTGTCAAGTTCGAAACAGGCCCTCCAGGTGAACCTTGGTCGACACAGCTGCAAGAAAAGGGTTTCTATTCTGCAGAATTCCTCTATATAAATGTAGTTGGGTTTGTGTAAGTTCATGCTGAAATGAGAAAAGCATGTGTAAAATTCTGTAAAATTGAAATACACATGAACTGCTACAAGTACATGTAGTATATACCTAAGTGAAACTGCAAGAAGCGCGACTGAAATATGAAACAGCTCACCATCATGATGATAGCTTCGATTCTCAATCAATACATAGCAATGAAAGCTCAACATCACATAGTACTGTCATAATTGCTGTGCCGCCCCAAGCCACCAAAACCAGGATTTTCATAGTACTCCTCCAACCAAGTCTTCTGCTTGTCCTGGCGCAAACATGATACTGCGGATGCTGATTTGATGTTGATCAAGAAGGTGTCGAGCCTGTTTCCGGTCTTCTTTCCGTGGCATCTTGCAAGGCAGGTGTCTAACTACAATATATAACTACAACAAGATCTTAACTTATAAGGTACAGGTAAGCATGAGATCATGGAAAGAATGCAAATGAAAGTCCGGTGGTTAAAGACGAGTCCCAAAGTTTGAAGCCTCAAATTGCACATAAGTGCACGATACAAAATAGCCTTGAATTGGAAGGAAGGTCAAGTTGTTTGCTGCTTCTCCCAATCACTCCAGATTTGTCATTGTAAGAACACTGCTGGAAGCTCATCAAGCGCGAAGGACAAAGAACACTCTCGCAGCACATTGCTCAGTAGCGGAACAAATCGTGTCTTTTCCACGCTAGCTCGCAGGCAAAGATTGCTTTATCGACACCACCTCTGAGCCAGCAAACAATATGTTATGTAAGTGAAATGTGAAGCAAACTGATCAAGCATGCGGGTTAGTATTAGCATTAGCAAATGTTCTTCTCAAATTCAGGCAAAGCGAACTCAACCAGGCCTCTGATGAAAGTGATTCGCCGGTTTCGGCAGCTCTTGCAATGACTTCACCGGCTACCTCCTTTGCTGCTGTCACAATCACTTCACCTGCTTCTGCTGTTCCTTCAGCCACCTCACAAGAAACGGCATCAACTTTGCAAGCACGCGCACCACCGCAGTTAGAAGTTTTGACTCCATCACACCCGACGTACCTGCTTGATCGCACGTGCCCCTATCTCTGCCGCATGTCCAACATGGAGGAAGCCTACACGTGCCGTGCCGGTGCCAGCAATCGAAAACAACTGTGACAAAGTTGCAGAATCATCTCAGCCTTCTTCTGCATTGACCATGGCCGTTTCCACCTTGTGCAAGAAGGTTCCCTCCTTCAGGAATACAGAAGTGCACCTCTTCCAAACTCATAATCGGAGGAAACAGACATGCCAAACAACGAAAACAAGTGAAGGGTCATCATTGCACACCAGTATCGGCTAACAGTTAGACCCCTCATATAGTCCTTATGTACATCGTGAAGCTGACAAATTATACAGTACCAGCACAAACCCCAAAAAATTCAGCATGATTTTTTAACGTTCCAATGTTGGTGGACACATTTGCAATTGTTTTCCTATAGCCTCCAGCTGCTTGGGAACAGCATGTAAACCTAGAAAATGCGTTTTTTAGCACACCCCCCCTTCCCCAAAAAATTGTTTGACAGCAACTGAAATTTCGAGTGACATCTGTTCTAACATGTTCTAACGATATGTGAATCTGAGTGCAACGGACAAGGAGGAAAAAACAGGGCCCACAACGCTAGACAAGCCCCAAGCAAGGCGGAAAAGAAAGGGCGCACAGCACAGGCACGGCTATTGTGGCCAGTCCTGTGTTTTTTTCCTCGTCAAAAAAGAGCCCCAACAGTAAACTGTTTTGGGGGCAAAAAGATTGTATATAAAGATTAAAGAGTTTGGCTGCCACAAAACAAACTATGCCAAGTCTAAGTCCTGAAGCGGTGCAACTGAGCTGGATAGATGGTTGTCAAGGGCCCTGAATCATCAACAGGACAGTACACTGAACATTTCCTTACAAAAATAGACCTGGACTAAGAATCCAGCGCCGTTTCAACTGTGACCTCTGCACCGGCTTCGACAGCCTGAACGCTGATGAAGCTTCACTTGACTGGCGGGGAACGAAAGCGATGACAACGACGAATGTGAGAACACCTTTTTGGCCACGGTGTTCCGCAAGGAAAAAATGGAACAAAATCCCCTGGGTATGATGCTTGTGATGTCGTGTCCCTTCAATATTGTTTCAACTCGTCAAGGGGGGAGGGGTCTTACTGATTCGCTTCACACGATGTGGGGGGGTGAGGGTCAATATACACAGTATCCCTGGAGTCAACTCACAGTCCAACAGTCTGCACAAGAGCGAGTGTGCGAAGGCAAATGAGCGGCTTTTCACGCACGCACTGAGCACCTTGAGCCAAATGTTATGGCACGTCAATGCATTGCCTAAGAGCATATCGCCAGATAACCAAGTTGAAGCAACAGCGTAAACAAGGGCCGAAAACAGAAAACATTACACCAACATAGACCCAGATAGCTAGGCAGAATCCCACGACCTGTTGACATGCGACTGGCTGGAACAAGAATGTACGCAGCCTGCACAGCTAGCTTACAGCACCTCCACAGCGCGCACAACCAGCTGACACCAGCGCCGGCGCGCTTTGCCAGCTGACAACACCGGCAGCGGCACCAGCACCCGACCAGCGCCGCCGCCCGTCTTAAACGCGCGCTCAGCCAGCTCACAGCACCAACACCCAGGACCACAACACCAGCACCAGCGCCGACACCCTTTCAAAAGCGCGCGCAGCTCATTCTTATTTGCAGTAAGAACCCCATAGCTATCCCTATTTGGGGAATAACAACTGATGATCTTGCGCGCATAAGTTTATGCGCAAACAGCAAAGCCCGTAAGTGTCATTGGCCCAAGGCCAAGCAGTATCCAGCGCCACTATATTGACTTTGTAGCATGCTTGAAGCAAAGATCTGGAGAACGATAAGGCCGTATGATTTTGCGCGTATAAGTTTATGCGCACAAAAGTACGCGCGCAAACGGCAAAGCCCGTAGGCTTCACTCGTGCAAGGCCAAGCAGTATCCAGCACGACTATTGCGCGTGTAGCATGCTGAAGCACGCTGAAACAATGGTCGGTTGAGAGCCTGACGTTGCGCGTAGAACATGATACGTACAAAAGTATGCGCGCAAACAGTACAGCGGTTGACACAGCTGTCGGCCAAAACAGAACCTGGAGAGTGTAAATACCCCACAGCGCAAATAGACGAAGAACCCTCAAGCGACGCACCGTATGATGTTGCGTGCATAAGTTCATGCGGCCCATGACTGCTGGCACTTCGGCTGTTGGTCGCCCTTCACTGCTACAAGCGGCAGGTTGTCACCCTTCACTGTCAGAAGCGGCGGTTGTTTTCACTTCACTGTCAGAAGCGGGCACCAGTACCGAGCGCCGGCACGCCAGCTCACGGCACCCAGCACCCAGCACCAGCACCGGCACCCTGTCTCCACCACGCACAGCCAGCGCCCAGCACCGACACCCAGTCTCCACGCGCACACGCGCTGGCAGATCACAGCGCCCAGCACCAGCAGCACCAGCGCCCGCTGTCTCCACCACGCGCACCAGCGCCCAGCACCGGCACCCTGTCTCCACCACGCGCACAGCCAGCTCACAGCACCACCAAGTGCACAGCCAGCTCACAGCACCAGCACCAGCACCGGCACCCCGTGCCCGGCACCCAGCACCAGCAACCTGTCCCCACCATGCGCACAGCTCACGACACCAGCACCAGAACCGGCACCTAGCGCGCCAGCACCAGCAACCTGTCTCCACCACCTAGCGCCAGCACCAGCACAGGCACCAGCACCGGCGCCCGGCGCCCAGTACCGGGGTCAGCAACCTGTCTCCACCACGCTCACAGCACCAGCGCCGGCACCCTGTCTCCACCACGCGCACAGCCAGCTCACAGCACCAAGCGCACGTCCAGCTCACAGCACCAGCACCGGCACCCGGCGCCCGGCACCCAGCGCCACAGCTCACGACACCAGCGCCAGAACCGGCATCTAGCACCAGCGCCGGCAGCAGCAACCTGTCTCCACCACGTAGCACCAGCTCCAGCGCCAGCACCGGCGCCCGGCGCCCAGCGCCAGCACCAGCAACCTGTCTCCACCACGCGCACAGCCAGCTCACAGCACCAGCACCGGCGCCCAGCCCCAGCACCAGCAACCTGTCTCGAAAGCGCGCATGGGCAATTCGTTTTAATTTGAAGTAAGAACCCCATAGCTTCGCTATCTGAGGGAAAAACAGACACAATTTTTCTTTGCTCTGAAGCATGCACGTGTCATGGAACTGCACAAGCAGGCTGAAAACTAAAGCTAAGCCACAAAGCTGAAAAGACTGCCATTCAAAACGGCTCATCTACTGAATTATGACTTCTAGAGCGGTTCATTGCGCTCAGGACGACCGAAAAAAGCAAGGAAAGTGAAAAGAATTCCGCGTTAGCTCTGACCGAACATCACAAGGCTCATCCTTCCTGACCCAATGCCCGCCTCGTTCTGACCGAGACCGTTCCTGCTCTGCGTCAGGGCCGGTAGATCAGTCCCTTGGAGTTGTTGCTCGCCGCTGGCGATCAATTGCCTGCTGAGCGCCAGCTTTTGACCGTGTCCTTCGGCCGCAGTCCGTAAAATTCCGAACAGTGGAGTTGAGTGGTTCGCGCCAACGCTTATCAGAATCTGGCAAGAGCAGGTCAGCGTTGATCAAGCGCTTGAAACGCTTTCAATACTGTTTCTTGGCTGCGCCGCGAGCCTGTCTTATGTAGGTCTCGTCGTGCTCAGCGTTTCCTTCGTCCGATAGTCGGTATGGAACGAGGCTGGGGTGTTTCGATGCATGGGTACCTGAAGTACATCATAATGAGGCAATCTCCATCGTGAACTGGATCGCCTTTAACAGTGACCTCAGCCATTCCGCATCGCAGATGATTGAAATGACATTGTTGCTAATGCGGCGGTCAACGGTCAATCTTGTGGAGCTTGTTGGCTCGAAGCTCACCTTGACCGAGTTGAAAGCCAAGACACGCTGCCATCAGTGCAAACAAGTTGGACATTGGAGCCGCGAGTGTCCACATCGCTCCAAGCATGCCTCACCGACATCGAGGAGTTCAGGATCCACCACGGGCGTGAGCACCGGTTTCTTTGCGCAGCCTGCCGCGACAACACTGACGGGAGGTGGTAGTTTTCTCACCACGACACCTGAGCTGAAGAAGAGTGAGGAATACATGCCCGCTGCTGTTCTTTCCTTTTGTTATTTGGCCGTCCATGAGGACGAGGGAACGGCATTGGTGGATACCGCCGCTCAGCGCGGCCTTGTTGGTTTGGAGACCCTTCAACGTCATGACCACCTCCTACAAGAACGTTTTGGGCCAGAGTGAGGGGGAAGTGTTCGCGAAACTACATCTATGTGGGGCAACCACTTTGGCCTCGTTCCTGGGAGCATTGGATTTCTTGCGCGCGGCCTGCGATGCGAGTGGCGCATCACCTCGAAGAACGTAATGTCATCACCTCGCGAAAGTACCGCTAGAGCAGGAGCTCCTGTCCAGGACTGCACGTCAACTCCGCGAGGCTTGCCTCTCTTTGCCTCCACCTCCAAATATATACCGTTCGAGTGTCAAAGCAGCCTGCAAACATATGATATGACACGGATTGCGAAAGATGAGACCTGGAACACCGATAGAATCACAGTTTTTCGGCAGCTTACACTTGGCTGGCCATACCATTGAAGACACCAATATTCAGGTCAGGGGTTGACCGCATATTGGAGGAGGCTGTAGCGGCTGTAGAAGCATCCTGCCAAGCCTTTCCGGAGACGAAGGCGGCTTTATTCGTGAGATTGTTTCTCATCACCTCAGCAGCTCACAGTATGGCTCCCAGAGCCCTCTCTGGCTTCCGACAAAGGCTGCCTCTTGTTCCGGCCCTGTTCGACCTGAGCGCAATCTTCCTTCACGCGATAGATCGCTAGCAGCCAGGTTGGAGTCAAAGTCTTCCTGTGAATTGGCCGTCATTAAGGCCATATATGACCCGACAAATTTGTCGATCTTTTCCTTGATCATGCCGCTGGAATCCACCGGAAATAGACCCATAAACAAGAACTAACAAAGTCACGCGCTGCCTGCGCTCGCTGCACAGACCGACTTCTTTTACCGTTTGTCGGTCTCGAGCTCTCTGTTGGCGCGTCTTCACGCTCTGTGTCCTTGAATCTCCAAGGATGATTCGCTCGGTCCTTGCCTCTGCCTCAGTCCAGGGAGGCAGGCGACTCCTTGTCAAAGAACTGCGCGGCAGAACTTGCTGCGTCTGTTGGAAGTTCTTCTGATTTTGCTATTTTACTGATTTATTCCGATATTTAAACGGATTTTGATGTGCGTCGCGCACACGCATTTTCAAGTTTACGCCCAAAATCTTTGCGCTTTAGAAACATAAATTGGTTTGTTTGACATCTGTCAGTTTTCATTGAATTACCAAGGACCTATAGCTCACACCCTCCCACTGACCCACACCAACTATCACAGGACCACTTTTTCCATTGGCCCACGCCAACCATGTATGGTCGTTGGCATTAGCTTTTGATGCGTGATGGACAGGCCTTACAATGCTCCTTAGCTAAAGGCAGCTCAGTCATGGCAATTGGTGTATGACAAAATCTATCTTGGCGCAAACTCCCAAGGGTGCTTTTCGCTCGTGTTGCGCGCGTCAGCTTCGCAGCGGGATACTTTGTTTTAGCGGTAGCTCTCACAACGCTTACTTCTCAGTGCGGGCACAATACTCAACTAGTGTGTTTGCTGCTGCTGCTACTGCTGTACTGTTACTGCTGCTTCTACTGCACCTAGTACTACTACTACTACTACTACTACTACTACTACTACTACTACTACCGCCACCACTACTACTACTGCTGCTACTACAACAACCACAACTACAACTACAACTACAACAACAACAACAACTACTACTACTACTACTACAACTACACACACGTGTATATTCACAGGCAACAAGTCTTCCTCGCAAAAGACTTGGGCCTACAAGATGTC